AGCGAAAAAATAATGGTCCTGACACGATCGCGGTCGCCGTATTTTTATTCTACATTTACATATTTTATCGTATTCTTATTTACGGAAAGTCGTTGGTAGGACGATAAAATAGTACATAAGTATAAATTAAACAAGTGGTTTATTATACCGAAAGCGCAGAAGAAAATGAGTAGTAGAGAGCTGAACCGATACTGAAGCGGAAAATGTCAACGAACGAATGATTCAGTTGCTGCCGAACAAATAGCTAAAACGGGAACCGTGATTATCGCAAAGCTAAATCGATGAGCGGCTGGCCGGTTTCAAATGGTGATTTTTTAATGTTATACCAGAGATATTTACGGAAAGTCGTTGGCAAGTTGATAAAATAGTACACATAAATTAAACAAGCGGTTTATCATGCCGAATGCGGGAAAGAGGTTGAGTAGCGGAGGGTTGAACCGGGGCTGAACCGGAAAATGTCAACGAACGAACGGCTGCTACGAGACAAACGGCTAAAACGGGAATCGTGATTATCGCAAAGTTAAATCGATACGCGACTGTCCGGTTTCAAATGGTGATTTTTTAATGTTATCGAAGATATGCTACAAATGCGAATCCAGGCGAGTCGATATCTGGATAATGCATCGGCGGGACTGATCGATTCACATTTAGTTACTTTCACGCGAAAAACGACGACGGATGAATCATTCCGTGTGATGGAAACGCGACGGAGGAAAAACAAAAGTGCCGGGCGGACAATGATGCGCTAATCACGAGCGGAGAATTTCGCGGTAGAGAATAAAATGAGAAAGCAGCACGATAATTGAATCGGCATCATTGGTTTCGATTTGATTTTTTTAGTGCGCGCTTTCAACGATAATTCGATTAAAAGTCTTACAAAATAATACTTCGATCAAACCAGATCAAACCAGATAGCAGGAACGCTTTTATATTTGAAATGTCGCTTTCATCATCTTGAGTCTACATTACAAAAATAATAATCTTCTTAATAGGTTAATTTATTTTTAATGACAAGCTAAACATATTTCACGGTTTGATCACAGGGAGGAAGACATATATTGCTGTTGTTATATTATTAACAGTGGCAATTAATAATAATATTATATGAATTAATAAATACGCTTTCTGCACTATATTATTACGTAAATGTTAAAGTAATTAGGAATAGATTATATGTAGATGCGTTGTCAAATACTTTAAACTATTTACGTGCAACGAATATCGTGCATTATTAAAGCGAATCAAGAGTACTAATGCGCGCGTACATGCATATTGTAATGTGACCATTTCTAGCAAAACAATATCGAGTTTTATATTTATATGTGTGTACGCCCCAGAAAGAGAGTAAAGTGAATTAAATGGTGCCGAGCTTCGCGGATAAACTCGGATAAACTCTCGCGCGTATCCGCGGCGCAAACATGAAACAAATATAAACCAACAGAATACCGCATGCAGGAGATATTCGCGTAGTGTGCGTGATGCACAAAAGAATAAATACTCGCCATGTGCTCAGCAATTGGACGCTCGAACGGTTCATAATAGTTAATTAAAGCGGATCGAGCAATTCTATTAAAACTTGGGACCGTTTCGTCGATTTTGCGCCGGTCGCGGATACCTGAAATATTCACAAAGGATGCCGGACCGCGGCAGAAGCGGCGCGATAAAGATGTGAAACGCGTCGCTTTGACGGCAGATGCGAATTTTACGGATTTACGCTGCGCGCTCAGGGTATCGCGCGCTATCATCGACACGTACCGCCGATGTTATCCGCCCTACCTGTCCTACGAGTACATTCGTTCAATAGCGACGAGCAAAGCGCCGTTGATTGTAACCACTTATGGAACACGCGCGAACCATTGCGCGATAGTCGAACTTAATCTCCGAATCGACGCGATAAATGTCTTTTATCGACGCTTGACTAACGAAGTTAAGATCAATGGACTCGTTCCGATTTAATACGACCGTCGAACGTCACTGAATCGTACAAATTTCAATCAGTGTACGGCATGTCGATATACCGTCTTATCGGATTAGATTTTTAAATTGAATTCCGGTGAGTTCGTAGATCTGGCGACTCAACACGATCTAGGATATGATCAAAGTCAAATCAATTTTCTCAGTCTCGTGTTTTAACAGTGCTTTCTGTCTTTTTTATTATTTTTTTGTACAGATTCGACGAGAAGTGAATTTTATTGCTGCATTAAATTTCGTTCCATTTTGATTGCAGAAATAAAATAAATATATAAACAATTTTTCAATTCTTTTTATACTCGAGGAATATACACGGAATAATACACGAATCGCTGACAGCGTGGTAAAGATGTACCTAAGTCGGCATCGATTTACTTTTTTCAAGAATATCGACAAGCACCAAGCTTCGTTGCACGCATTGAATTTCGTTTTGACTGCACGAATAAGATATATAAATACCCCTTGACTTCCACACTCCCTTTACATTCAAGGCGTGAGGGATAATACACAAATCGCTGACGGCATTATCAAGGTATACACCTTCGCATCGATTATGAACGGCTCTTTAAATATTACGGATACCGCGCCGGTGAGGCGTGCCGATTTCAGGGCGGCTTTACATCCAACCCCGTTAGAAAGAACATCCGTATGCGCGTTTCCCACGACCTTTCTGCCGGCAGTTGCGTGAGGTGCCGGTAACATTGCAAAGCACAGCCTTTGAAGTTGATCGGCTCACGTCACGGAGTTTCGAAGAAGTACACATTCGAGAGCGAGAGAAAGAGAGTAATGTCCGATACCGAGCGACATGATTGTTTCCGGTGACGTCACGATAAGCCAAGAACGGACCCCCTTCGCTCGTAAAACGGTATATGACGCAAGCCATCTAGCGCGAGTCAGACGACGATGACGTCCGTCGGGCTAGAGGTCTATAGCCTGCGCCGTCGGCTGCATATATAAACCGCGGGGTAATCGCGCGTAATTATTCAAACGGAGGATACACCAGCATTAAGGTTGCTCTATCGATCGTGCGACGCTCGAACGGAGCGGTCGAGGGTTGTGCAAGCGGTCGCTCCGGGCAGCGTTCAATCCTTTTTTCCTTGCAGCTCGCTGATTGCGTTTCGCGCGTCACGAGCCGCGAATTTCATGCCTCTCCCTTGGCTGCCAATAGCGTCGACGAGCTACGAAGCAAAGCGCCGAAGTCAATTGTTTACGAACTGTCTTCGAGTACACTGGATGTCCGGCATCTCGCGCTACTAAACTTACCTGATTGCTGATGAATCCTGAGTCCTTCCTTCGTTCTCCCAAATGTAATATTATTTGAGAATTACCTTATTAGAAGGCTTACAAGTCGTATATTTAGTTGGACGAAAAAGCTTTATATCGAATATTTCTTCTTAATATTTAAAGTATATATATTTTACAGAATTTTTATATTTATAAACTTAGAAAAATTTGAAAGGATTTAGAGGGAATGTGGAATGTGTATACATTAATAACATACGAATCAATCATTTATTAAAGCAAAACTTTATTATAGCAATAGTGAACAATGGATAACTATTAAAGATTTTTAACATGTTTTTTTGATAAAAATAGCGATTGGATGTTTAGGTTTAGGTAATAGGTGAATATCTAAAAGGGTCTCTTATCGTACGAAATTCTTTGAACTAAAAGTCATCTACGGTCGTGTTATTAACGATGATAATCGCACATACGTGTCGATAAGTCTGAATTTTTGGGCGGCGCGTACCGTGAATCGATCGATCGTACATCGCACATGATTACAATTCGTTTGCGGCGCAGATTAAAATTACGTCAGCGCGATTTTTGCATTGTAAATTCGATTACAGATATCAACGAGGCAATTCCTTGTAATAAACAATACAAGATGATTCTTACGTGAAAATAAGAATAAAATTTCCAACGTAATTTTTCCGGGAAGAATCGCGCTTACGTGCAACCTGGGATGAACTGCGCCCGCGTTCGGTTAGCGCAAGGTGACGCATGCGGCCGAATTAATTTAATCGATAAACATATCGTCCGACGCGAACAAACAGAACGTTTGGCGGTTCGCTCCGAAGAAGATCGATATTCACGAGTACGTTCCATAAACAAAACTGCCGATGCGCCGATGCACGCCCTACGGCGGCGTTACCTCGGGCGATGCGGATTCGTCCCTTACCGTGCGGCTAAATTGAATTCCCGTAAGCGGTATATCGGCTCCTACGAGCTTCAAACGACTCACAGCGCGCTACCGCTCGGCCCTAATTTCCACCCTTGATCGCTCTGCTGTCGACAGGAACGAGCAGAATGCAAAAAAAGAAGCGGAACCGAAAGGACGAAGAAAAATACGGCGATGATGAAGGATGAGTTTTCCACGATACGAATGGACTATTAATCTCGCGCGCGCGAGTTCGCTCCAATTTTCTGCTTTAAGGCAAGATATATCGTAAAAAAAACAGGAGGGGGGAGCAAAGAAAAACGATCGCGGGAGAAAAACGGCGCCGGTGACACGAGAGCGGAAAGAAAGGCGGGCGAAATTAAGAGGAAATCGGTCAATGGATCGTTCTCGCTTCTTCGCGTCCGTAATCTTCAGGGTACAAAAAAAAAATAAAAAGGAAATGTTGTTAAAGAGTACACAGCGCCATGTGTAGCAAATCCTTCCCATCCCTCCCCTCCCCTTTCCTACCCCGAGAAACGCAATCTACGCTCCCGACGCTCGAAACCTAAGACAGTCGTCGGCTAGTCCTAGTGATATATTTTAATAAATCGTTATCGGCTATCCTCCTCTCTCCTCGTATCGTAGTTAGTATGTCGTCGTAACTAATTATTCAGTTAGGGCGTCCCTTCCCTCCCCTTTGCGTTCTCTCTTACCACGAGTAACTGCCATAGTGTGTTACTCAAAATTGTCTCGTAGCGCATACATTAAACTTATAATCTATCTCGCCTCCGCGGTCGACGAGATGCGGGATAATCGATTGGGAACTCGCAGGCATAATATTTGAGCTTTTTTTTTCTTATTTTTTTCCTTTTTTTTGTTCAGAACAGGTGCGTTTTCGAGCTCGTATCTTCGACAGACAGCGGAGAAGCTCGCCCCGACGATCGATCGCCGGGGCTGTTCTTCCTCCGCGTCGTCGATCGATCCGCGTTCCGCTCGCGATATCCCGCCGCATCAATCGCATTCACGCAACATACAGTAATCTTACAAATAATATATCTAACAACTTTAGGTTCAACTTAGATTGCTTTCCGTGATCACGATCCTACTCCAACCCCGAAGTGCGCCCTCGTGCACTCGCACCGGACACTCGCTCTCGCCCGCAGCCGGAGCGAGAAACCGGGGACCAACACTTCCGATCGATACGCCTCCTTCTCCTTCCCCTGCTTCACCTCTCTCGTTGCCATAACATGCGGTTGACACGACGCGGTCAGGACGAACGACTGCACGAAGGCGCACTTAGCCAAAGTTCGTGTACTTTACTATTCTATCGTAATATTACGTTTGCTTTTACTCTTTTTTTATAACTTTCTTTAGATATACGATAGGTAGGTTACTATTCTTTACGTATCAATCCGTGACACCACCGGCAATCGCACCTCGCACACAACACGCAAACATACGCATACACACACGCACATAGCACTCGTTCGGCCGTTCCTCTTCGCTCTCCTCTGTATCCAGACGCGTCTGTGATCTAGTACGATCCGGGACGTCGGTCGATGGCTGGAGGAATTTAGGGATGATTTGTAGGTACGAGTGGACCGAGCGGATCGACGAGAAGCGACTCGTTAAAGACGCGCGCGAGTTGCGCGCAAGATTTTTCAAGGATGATAAAATCCTTCTAGGAAACGATGGATCCTCGTCGATCCGCGCGACGTCGCGGTTGGCCAGTCGGTCCGAAAGTCTCCCGATTCGGTTCTTAACGCGCGTCTAGCCTTAATCCTTACGTCGTAATACTATTCAATACTTGTTGAAGCTCATAATAAGTACATACTCGAGGATAAGATTACCGATTATTGTGTTACTCTTAAGGTCTCGCTTCGGTATATACTCGCTCGCGTTTCCTTAACGGATTTTTTTCGATCGGAGTTTTCTCTCTCCATCGCGCACAGGTTGAGCCTTATAGGTACAAAAAGTAAATCGTCGATCGCGACGATATCTGTACAGAAGTTAATAACAGTCGTGCGCACCTAAGGCTCAATCGGGCATCTCAATCACGCTCGCTGCATTGTCAAGATACTGTTGTGGATATTACGATGTGAATGCCTATGTACAAATTGAAGGATAAGAGCGAAACTATATCACTGACGAACTGCTTCAGGAAACGGAAAATCCGCGCACGGAAAGGCGTCGTGACCTCCCTTTATTATGTACTCTTCGTAGCCTACGTGTATTTATAGTGATTATGGCTGGCTGGGTGCTCTCTCGATACGTCGATCGTTCGGCAAAACCGCGCTAAATGAGCACCGGTAGACATTTTTGCTGTCGCTTGCTGATTACAAAATGTATGTATGTCGATCTCCGAGGAAAAGTCGGACGGACGCTAACACGAACGCTAATTCCACTACAGTGTGAGCCTGCGTCATATTTTCATGGACGATTGCTAAACGAGGACGTATGCATTCGTAAAATTAGCGGTGAAGCTAAATTGAATTTTCTGTCAGTTTCGCGTGTTTCGAAAAATATTCATTTACACGTTGTCACGGAGACAGTTTTTTTTTTTCGCGGTCAGTCTAGTCGGTTGAGTGCGAGTAGGCAGAATACTGGCAGTAAATTAAAAGCATGTCGTTACTTTTTTTAGGGGCAAATCTTCCCCGCTTAGGTCACTTTTATAAAAATACAACGCTATTATCTATGTACAAAGTCACGTACAGAATCAGACACGAAGTCAGAAACGCCGGTTTTCCGCTCAAAGAAGTTTTCAGGCTTCATAAAAGAAAAAAAAAATAAGCGTAACTAAAACTAATGATAAAAAAAAGGAACCGGATGATTATAGAGAAATTAAATATAACGGCATACGTCAAAACTCCAGATGTGTCTTCGGGAAGCGAACGCCGCGCTTATAGGCTCGATCCAGTTGTAGTCGATACATAGCCGTCTCGAATGTACGCGCGAAAAACGCAATGCTGGCTCGACAGCCCCGCGCAGCCTCAAGAGTCCTGAAGTCGTCGAAACGATCGCTCGCCTCGATGTGGCCCCAGCATTCCCCAAACCGCGTTTAGCTTTCGGCGGCGGTCGCCGCGCCGACTTGCTCAGCGCACCGATACCGCAGGATGCAACGAGAGATCTGGCCGTGTTCATCGAGAACTAATAAGCAAACACGTATACCCTACGCTAATATTGGACTTACCTACGGAAAATGTGTACACGTGACTTCTAAGTCCGATAATATGTACAGTGCACTACTGGCGGGTGCACAACGATACGTGCGCACCGTGAAATCGCCCGTTGGGCGCGTAACGCGAATGTATGTCCGTTTGGGGAAAGAACCGGATGAGAGGAGGGGAGATACGCTTGAAAGAAATATGAGTATGAGGCTACGGGCCTCACCGGTGGGTTTCCTCTGGAGGGAAATAGATCCGCGTAGCACCTTAGTTGAAGGAGGCCGCCTCTCGACGATGATAACGCGCGCGCGCGGCATGTACTCCAAGTTTCTCACAAACTGGAGCGCGACGATTTTGACGGTTCCGCCGGCACGACACGCGAGTACGGGGCGTTTTTTTTTTTTTTTTATTTTTATTTTTCGTACCAGCGCAACGGTACGCGAGCCCGAACAAAAACGCGACGTCATCGCGCGGTCGTTCCGCGGCCGTGTCTCAGGGTAGGTGCGCGAAGAATAATGACGATGATCGGAATGAACGGCACGAAAGTTGCCGCGACAAACAAAAGATAACGGGCGGCAGCAGCCCGCGCGATCGTCGAGATGCGATATAGAAAGGAAAAATGAAGGAAACGCGGAGTGGTGGCGTGTGAGGGATAGGTGTGCAAAGTAGAAAATAGGCGTGTTGCGCGCCGCAAAAATGGCGAACGTGATATGGAAAGCTAACCAGCGTCGCGAGTGCACAGCGCGGCTCGCACGAAGGTCTCTTAAAGCCGATAATAATCTCATGTGTAACCTGCGTGACGTCGTAAACGCGCCGTTGTCGGCCACGTTTCGTTTTTCTCTCCGACGCGACGTTTTACCTTTCATTCCTCGATTAACACTGTCGTTTTCTTTTGTCCGCGCCGGGGGCGTGAGCTGTTTATCAGCGGCCATTCTCCCATCGATGCTACCCGCGTCGTATGGAAAACTCCACCTCGATTTCGCTTCTTCGCTCGCTCCTATCACAGATGCGAAAAACTGCAGGAGAACGCGCCTTTCTCTCTTCGTCCCGCCGCTTAATCTCGGCGTCATATTGATAATCGATATCTCATTACGATGATATCGCGATCAACATTGCGCCGTCTTCCGTAAACGAGACCCCGATATCGTATATACACGTAAAATCTCTCTCGCAAATTAATTAAAAAATCCAAGGAAACAGAACTGCGCGCTTCTCCGTACAGCTTCCAACACCGACCAGTAGTAGTTCAGTATGAAGAAGCGGAACTTTATCCGTTTCTCCGCGGCACAAAGGATATCGTTCGTTCACCCCGAAGAACACCACTCTTCGCGGATGCACGTCGGAATTTACGGAGCCGAGTGATCACCGATTGTTTCACCGTTCGCAACATTTTCCAGCATTTCCGCTCGTCATCGCCGAGAACACTCGCGGCGCCAGGGTCCGATCCTCCCCCCCCCCTTCGTGATACACGTTCTTTTTTTTTTTATTTACAGCAAAGCGAGTACAAAAAAACATATGTAAAACGGAAAGTGGGATGCGCGAGAACAAAAAAACTGAAATATCTCTATTGACAAATGATCGACTGCCAATAGCTACTCGATGTCACTCGCGATCAGCAACGAGAAGGTCTCGGGCACAGTGGCACGTGATTAGTAGTATGCACCGATCGAACACGTCCTTTTTACACTCGAGTTTCAGTTCACCACCGATTCGCCGGATCGGTCTCAGTCGCTTGAGAGTCCTCGGGTGAGCGCCAAGGGGCTGAGCGCGGTGACGTGACCGGCCAAAAGGAAGGCCAGGCTCATCCAGCCGGTCGTGGTCCAGCCGCGGTTCCTCGGCGGGACGCTTATGCGTATCGTGTCATCGTAATCTCGGCTCGATGAGGGACCCAACGATCGGCTCCATCAGACGAGGGGCGTGCCGTAAACCTCGTTCGTGTGTAGATTCTGATTACTGTCGTTCTGCCTCGAAGCGCATTGCTGTAACAGAAAAGCGCACGCACGTTGATGCACGCACGAGAAATGCGATCCGAATTGCTGTCACGTAATAACGAATTTTGTATGCGATGTGCTCGAAACAACATGTCGATAATCGTTATACTGTAAAATCGATTCGCGGATATCACAGCTGATGGTGACACACTGCAGATTACGAGAGATAGAGTATCGTAATGTAATTTTTCATGATGTTTCACGAAATTATAATAATTGCCCGAATACTATCGCGCAAAATATTTATGGAACGAACGTGAAACCGGGTCACGCTGATAATTTCGTCGTGGAAATTGAATTCATTGCTACACGCGCGAGAGTTGTCGTTGCATAATGCATAAAAGAGTGCGGACGATTACAGAGTAATTCTCATTTACCGCTATCAACTGTGCAATTATATTTATCGATATGACATTATCGATTTACGGATATGCGCCCATGGGTATTTTCCCACAATAAACTCTCTACCTCGCATCGCGCAATTTCGCGATAAATATTTAATTTCCGTCCTCGCACCGATGCATATAAAGATAACTAAATATACGTAGAACTTGCTGAATTGTACGTCGCTTTGCAATGCAAATTTTGAGCGGTTCGATAACGGTTTATGACGATTCTATATATGCGACAGACGGCGATATAAATATCTGAGACGCGCGCGCGCGCGCGTATGCGTGAACGTCGCTGTTCCGCGTGCGGTTAAAAATATCGGAGAAGGGTTGTAAAATCGACTTACCGCTTGCTTTCTTTCCCAACTCTTCATCGCCGACTTGTACTTCTCGAATTCGTGACACCAGTCCGAATAAATCTTCTGGTAGTCGTTGGATTTGGCGGGGGCCGAACATCTGTGCGCGTCCACGGTGATGTTGTACGAGCACAGGAGAGCGCCGCCGAGCCAACAATCGTATCTGCCGGCGTCCTGCTCATTCACCCCGACAATCACCAGACCCTTTTCCGAGGTCTCGATAAACTTATCCCCGCCCGCGCCGTACTTGTACGCGATCTGATACCTGCCCTTTTCTTTACTATAATGGTACCATCGCACCTCTTGATTCGCCAGAACTTCCGGCATCTTCACGAAGCATCCCAGATGCACCGACTGGCCCCACGTGACAACTAGCTTCCGCTTGCCGACGCTGCTGTCGCAAACGTCCGCCGTGCTGTTCGACACGTCTTGAAGAAGCCTGCGCGAAAAGAATGTCGAAAATCACGCCACAGTTGCCGACAGTTGTATAATCTCGAATATTTATAGTCCCCGTGATTTTATTTCGGAATATTCTGCGAAATTAAATTTTGATTTGCCAGCTGCAATTTCCTTTTTTTTTTCTCTTTTTATTTATTTATCTTTTTTTTATATATATATTAAAAGTATTTTGTTTCACCGAGAAAAATGAATCAGCGGTAACTGAAATATACGATGCGTAAAATCGGCGCGAGTATTTCCATGCTGAGGCCCGCGCGTCGTAATTCGTGATTAAGCGAGCAAATTGTGACGAAAATCAAATGTGCTTCATTGTTTGTTCTCATAATACGTTGCGTTCGCCTCGCGTAAAATTATCAGGACGATAAATTGGTCGTGCGTATTGGCAATTTTAAAAATCGCGTCATGCCTGCGGGTAATACAATGGCACTTACCCTGGCTCGTACGGCTTGCACGTGTTTGTATCTTTATCCCATCCGCAATACGGATCGTGGACGCATCGCAAGCAGTTGTCGTATCGCCGAGTGCACATTACCAGATCGATCTGCTTTATTCGATGATCCGACGCGACATAGAGAGCCTTATGTTCCTTTGAGATCTCCATCGCCTGTATCGGTTCGCCCGGCGTAACGTCGAAAACATCCAACAGGATCGAGTGGGATTCGCCGCTGCTGTCAACCCATTGTACAACCTTGTGAACGCGACCGTCACCTGCGAAACACGAAAAGCGCACGCTGACGTATCTTTATCGGAGAACAATAACTTAGCAAGATCGCGCTCGTATTCAGCGCGATGTTACAATGTTCGACGGATGCTTACTGGAACCGGCGTAGTAGACTGTGTAATCCAAATCGGTGTCCAGGAAGTCGATGCGCAGCTTGTCGACGACCAGCCGCGTGAGCATTACGTCTCGCTTGTAGAAGACCGGTTTCTCGTTTTCGTGCGAAATCGCCGAGTCCATTAGCGGATGGGATCTGATGAAATTCAGGACGGTGTCCGGCAGTGATTCTGTATCGTTGACGCATTGGCCCGGCCGCGGTTCCGGAACCTTATTAGACAGGACCGGTAGCCAGGCGCTACTGCTGGTCGCCTGCTCTTTGAACTTTCCGCGGAAAGCCTCTTGGATGGCGTCAATGTGGAAGGAACATATCGCGGAGCCCATTAACCCGTTCGTCGATGTAGTGAAAGTGCCATAGAAATGCGTGTCGTCGCCCGGCACCTTGTAAATGCTCTCTGAGCAACGGCAAAGGGGTAATAACGTAAATCACACTATAGTATACAAGTCACGGAGTGTAAATGTTGCTCTTAATTAATTGCATTAATTAAAGCGATGGTAATGCAAAAATAATAGCCATCTGTTACCGAACATTCGTGCATTAATTAATTTAAAGTGTGAAAAATAATTATCTCCGAAAATGTTTAATTTTTCAAGCTCGGCGGTAGAGAAATAAATATACATAAGTTAATTTACAATATCATGTACAATGTACTTACGTATCTCGTTGAAGTAAAATGGAAACTCGCCGGGTATCGAGCAATTCAATCTGGCCTTGAGGTATGTGGCCCAATTTTGCGCGAGTATGTTTTTACCTCCGGTGTCTCTCTTGCAAACTCTCGCCACGCGGGAGTACACACTTTTGCCGCAGTTTATGTACTCGACCGCGGTCTCGCGGAAAAAGAAGAACACATGACTGCCGATGTCATACGAACCCACGAAATTCGGCTCTGAAAAGACAGAGAGACAGGATATTACGCGCCATCATTAATCTTCTGTGCTCTTTTCAGGCGCGTCGGAACGCCGGTTTCGATTCCCGTTTCCACGCTGTGTTTCTTCGGGACGGTATTTGCCACGGTCGCAAAACGTTCAACCGGAATATTCCGGCGGGCTTATGCGTTCGCGTAATCTAGCCGTTAGCATCTACCTCATTCTACACCAAAATAACTGCATCTGGAGCAGATAGTGCGCGCGGGCACTTCGCAATAATCGCGCGCAATAATAATCGCGAATCGAGTATCCGCCGCGGGCGGTGCGCGACGGCGAATCCTTGCGCATCCCGTGTGTAAAAACTTTCATCGCCGGAAGCCGTTTGAGCTGCGGACAATAATCTCCCCGAATCCCGTCTACCCAGGTATTTCGTAGCGCAACGATATTATTTTGCACCCGCTTCAGGAGGAAACGGGAGAAACAAAAAAGGGACATATAACGGGACTAGATTGGGGAACAGTGCGCTTTGATTGTGTTCCTCGAAATGACGACTTAAAAAACTACATTTAATAGAATAAATGTAATTGTGACAAATCTTGAAAAATTCACCTCGCCAAATGCATAAATAATCGAGATTGTATCGCACTTTACTAAAGTTGAGTTCGCGCGAACTGGAAAAGGTGGACAGCGAAAGAAAAACGAGCACCATCGAGTCGGCTTTATCATTGCGCTTCGCGTAGTTGAGTTATAAGTTTGGTATCATCTTCGAATGAGATAAGTTGTGCGAGAAAGAGTCCGAAATAACTTCGCAATAGCTCGCGACCTCTTCGCCGACAGACGGTGGACGTTCGCAGGCTTGAACGACTCGGAAAATACCACACTTTGCTATCGTTCGGGTTTTTTTACTCGTCGAAAATCATTTAATTCACTAAAATTAATTTTATTTTATAACTTATACCGATTTTCAACGAACAAATTAATATAGCATAAAATCCAGTAAACTGCATGTAAAATTGGCACAAATTATTCCGATTATTCGCGCCAGAAATGCAGTCCGGAAAATCACGAAACACTCTCAATGTGCGAGCGCGCGTGCAGTCATCCTCTAATCTTGGTGTAATTGCTTTGTTGTGCCGAGAAAACTGGTTTATCTCGCATAACGGCGAAGTCGGAGTTCGGTGACGCGAGAAAATGACGAAGGAAATCGAATTTTTCCGCGTTCGAATCGCGTCGTGTCGTCGCCGCCAGTCGGGCTCTCTTGTCGATTTTACATTATGCGGCGGCGCTCGGTTGAAGGCCGCCGCAATCTCTCTCACGGTTCAGCGATTAAATCGATTGTCTGACGCTTCGACGGCGGAAGTTTGATATATTGAGACGGTACAGGCTCTGCGTTGAAAGACAGAAACGGATTGAGAGATCGGCCGCGAGGCAGAAGGAGAAAATGATCGAAGAGAAAGAGAAAGAGAGAGAGAGAGAGAGAGAGAGAGAGAGAGAGAGAGAGAGAGAGAGAGAGAGAGAGAGAGAGAGAGAGAGAAGAGAGAAGAGAGAGAGAGAGAGAGAGAGACGCGTTATCGTCTCAAAGTGAGATGAGTTTTCATTGCACATCCCTGATGTCGAGCAACACGCGGCGGGAAATGTTTACCGTTACCACGCTGTTTTACGAAGAAGGGCGTCTCATTACAACGATGCTCCGCGGTGATTAAATGCAGCAGAGTTGAGAAAGAAAATAAATGCGCGATAAAACGGCTAAGAGCGTTTACTTCGCACGCGTAAGGTTCCGCGAAAGTAGATGTTCGTCAGCTAGTTATTCAGAGCTTGTTAAGTCCACTGCGTGCTGTTCTTCATTTTTCTTCGTCCGCTCTTCCCGCGCGTTTCACCGCCACTCAGGACGGTTTCTCTTATCATGACCTCGCGCCACGAACCGCATCAGTCTTCATTGCGCTCGCTTCGCTGTCGAGTAAAAGCAAGAATGAGAGAGAGAGAGACTTGAACGAAGAAGAGAAGAGAGGGGAAGAATCAGAGACTCGCGAAGACTACGAGGAGCGCGCATAGAGCCCATCCGTCTCTTCCGGGGCTCTCGCCTGCATTTAATCAACGCCTCTGTTAATAGACAAACTCGATGCGGAGAATGGTCCTTGATGGTGACGCTCGGCAATCTCACTCCGAGGGTGACTGAACGAAGGTGACTGCGCAGGCAGAGAAGTAGGCGGCGGCGGAGACGAGAAAGAGAGAGAGAGAGAGAGAGAGAGTGAGAGTGGGAGAGTAACGAAAGGGCTGCTGGCTCGAAATTAAACGACGAAACAAATGGCTAATCATGCGTCCCGCGGAAGGGCGCGAAGGATACAAAGTGGGACAAAGTCATCCCCCCGCTCGTCCTCCGGCGCTACGGCAACCCTACTTCGTCCGACGACGACGACGACGACGACGACGACGACGGCGGCGGCGGTGGCGACGGCTGAAGGAGCGGGCGTCGAGTGGCGGCACGCTTCGCCGGAGTGAGGAAAAGCGGAAGCAGCCCCCTCGAGAAATACAAAGCAGCCACCTAACCGGTCCCGCGCCATTATTCCGCGCCGGCGTGTCGCGCGCGGACGCTCGCCACGGCAGGACCGCGGCACGACAAGGACGGAGTTGAAATTAAGTCTTATCCGGGGCAACCTATTTTCCACCCTCTACTTTCGAAAGAAAAAGCAATTTCCGCCGACATAATTGATGAATTAAAATTTTTCGGAAATTTAAATGCGAAATTTTCACGACGCGCGCTCAATCGTAATGAACTAACGAACAAATAATATTCAGCGAGAAGCGCAAATTATTTTCGTAGAATCGGACTTTTCCAGCGGATTTTTTTAAATGTAATCAGTCGAAAATTTTAGTGCAGAATAGAGTGGAATTTCGATATTAAACGCCCGTGTAACTAAATTTTCGACGTATTGCTCGTGTCCCGTCACGAGCCGACGAACCTAACGAATCGGATTCTATTTACACTTGATCATCGCAAATCAGCGAGCTCTGCTTCTACCTCCCGTGAGTTACGCTATTAAATTCCATGTCGGATTGTGTGTCTATATTCGACGCACGTCCTAATCTACATTTTCCAATTTCCTTGCCGGGCCGCTCTTGCCGCGCCCCTCACGTTCGGCGCTCCGATAACGAAAAATCGAGAGAATCGCAATAATCCCAGCCGACGAATCAGGGAGTCGGTAAAACTGATTAAAGCTCGGCCTGCGAACTACGCGGGATCTGGAGAGGAGGGACGGGGGGCGGTTTCCGGACGGACGGCGGGAAAACTTTAACTTCTTCGGTCGGCTGACTGGCTGGCTTTCTCTCCTTTCCCCCAGAAAAGAGGATGGTACTTCGTCGAGAGCGCGGCGTTTAGGACGAGGAAGATCGCGTCGGGGTGTTATTTTATTACCCCGTAGAAAGAGAAGGATCCGGCCTCCGCTCTAACCCGGCCCGATAGCACCTCCTAGCGCCGACATCGCCCTCCAAACTCCTATAATTCCGCTCGTAGCCCCTCTCACTTCGCCGCGCAGCCTACGTTTTCCCCCTGCTTTTCCGCGCGAATCCTCCGCATCGTCGGCGACGAAAGCAACCCGGTACCCTTGGAAAATAGGCGGGGTAGTTTATTCGCATCCATTTGAACCCGTAGCCGTGCTCCCCGGACCGATGCCGAGGCTCCTACTTCAAAGCGCTCGCCGTCTAAGCAGCGCCCTTCCCGCGCGGTTTCTTCGGGAAGATCTGGCCTCGCTTTTTAGCCGATTCGGATCGACACCCTCTCTTCCCGTCTGTGCTACGCCCTCTAAGCCTAATGGAAATTTCATTGTTGCCCCGACACGCCGTAATTATCAGGCTTCGAGTAAAGGAACCGCTATGAAGTGCGGAGATCTAAGTATGTCTGGTAGCGGTGGACGTGGCGATCGATAGCGACGAGGGAGAGGCGTAATCGTGGAAAATAATTCACGTGTTCGAAAGATATTATATTTCTACTGTGAAATTTAAATACGCCCAAATATATTACGAAGATATTAAATATTATCGTTTTCGATATCGGCTCGTAAAAAAGTATCGACATTCTATTAAATCAAAGTGTTTTTAATAATTGACACAATTTACGAAAAAAAAATACTCACTGTCGAGCCACTTGGAGTCGTACTTGAGCGTCCTCTTGAAGCTGAACGCCTTGCGGCCGGTAGTCAAATTGTAGAGATCCGTGCGGAAGATTACGGTATCGGCTTTGGTGAACTCGGCGTTCGTGCCGGAATAAAGAGCTGGCAAGTCTCCGGGATTGCCCTTCTCGACCCAAACCGCTGTCGAATTGTCGGCAGGGTCGTAAGGGCACTTCGCGATGCCCATTCCTACTCCCGGGACGAACTCGTGACGTGGCAAGTGAGTCAGATTGCTCTGGAAAAACATTATTCGGGGAACGTGGTCAAATAGGCACTAACAGTGAGAAAACATAAGGGATCAAATCTAAATCGCCGAAATATCTTCATTTGGAAAGTAATAAGTTTACGACACAAAATTGTTGTTTAGTTAAATTGGGAAAAAAATATCAATTTCAAAAAATATGAAAAAATGAAAAAATAGCAATAAGCTTGGAACGCGATGTGTAATCAATTTATGGAATCTGCAATATGTATACTTTACTGTATTACTGCGTTTCTCGTTTCATATCAAATATCTCGAAATAGTCTAACTTTATTTAGTAGCTATAATCTCGAGCTGCGGCACACAGCTTAGGTAATTGGCTGAACGTTATTATTACGCGAAATGTTACGGCACACTCGGGACCCGTAATGTTTGGCAAAGCCGGATTGGTGTAACTTTCCATGTCGTTACACGGGTACTTAAACGCCAAGATCCATTCATCCACTCTGGCCGCGCTTTGATACGCTTTGCAAAATTTTGCGCATAGCACAATATGGATTTCTATTATTGCGATAATGTATGCACATTTGCTATTAATAATAGCATAATTTATTATCGCTTTAAATATTTCAACAGGAATTAAATTGGAACGTATCGTAGGAATGCGTGAGTAACGGTGAAATTTATTCGTAACGCGAAAATTAATTAACGATATTATTTTCAGATGCCTCTCCATGTTTCGTTATTAATTAATTAAATTAAGCGTAAAGCAACACAAATCGGTGTGCCTTGCGCATATCGCGCTGAATCCATAACACGTTTCAAGGGAAGTTACGGATGTATTTAATATCGTTTTACATTTTCAATTTTCAACAACAAATGGCAGCGGACGTTTAAACATGCATATGCATTTTTTTTTTTTTTTTTTTTCCTAAATCTTCGTCAAGCCAATCGTTATTTTTAACAATTTCGCAATCCAATCACAAGCTGTCGCGTATTACAAAATCAAATCTAACGAATTCGTTTAGTGTACATTGCAATTTATAAAGTGCAAAAGAATCGAATAATATGAGAAAGCAGCGCGCACAGTGTTCGTTATATTTTGTTACTGCACAAATAAAAATGATTGTCCGCATATCATAATTGAAGAATTTTACAGAATACAGATATTAAAATAATTCAAGCTATTTATAATGGAAAATTAAAATAAATCTACGCATGATTTTTTATTAAATTTCTCGATAAGCGCAATAATAATGAAAACTTACATAAATCACCCAGTCCTTGGGTGCGTGCGCGTTCGTACCGCACATATAAAGCCGATTGCCATCTCCCATCGGCTGTATCACTCTTATGTGATTTCTGCAGTCGAAATGCTGGAACAGAAAGGAACGGGAGGGAAAATTAAATTCGGCGATATACGTACGTGGGCGACAAGAAAATAGTCGCAGACAGCGTATCACGCGTAGACGACAGTTCAATGTGCCGTCGCGTTCCCTTCGGGCTTTTCGGGAAAGCGAAAGAGCGCGCGTCGCGGTCGATCACGTCGTGCGCGTATTTCGCGGCGAATCGGTGCGCGGGAAATGAATTGGTTTTGTCGTCACGTAGGGAATATTTGCGTGGACCTTACACCTCGACGACGACGCGTACACGGTGCATACGAATGAAACCGTGATAAGCACGCGCGCGCGTCTACGAGGCAGAACGCGATCGTGCTCCGTTTTATCGCCATGGCGCGCGATTTCGAGGTATGAATAAAAATGGACGCACAAGTACGGAGCGTTAAATGTTTCACGGTTAACCCTAATTTTCGACCGAGATATCGCATGCGTGCGATAGCGGCAATTTGGAGGGAAAAGCGCGACGATTCCTCTGCGGGTTATATTATAATATTTATGCTACGGTAATATATATCTGATTAAAGCGGACGATTTTTTAACAAAGCTTTGAATATACATTAATTCTGATGAAAGTATGATGCAGATTATTCGGGAAGAGGACTGCTGCGGTAGTTTCTCTTTGCGGTAAAGATACAAATAAGGTACATTCTTTCTCAGACTCGAGCGATACCGCAGTGTTTATTAAAGAGCAAGCTCGCGTCTTTCGCCTTTGCGCGTCTTCAAAGAAACTAGTTCTTTTATTTCAACACGTCGGTTGGCTGTGACTCTCCGACGTTACATTCGATGCCTCTTTTTGCAATCACCATTCTTTGGTATTTCGTGCTCGAGCCGGTACTGGAATTAAAATTCTTTTCAAAGACAGTACAGTACGAAAGAGCCGAACACAAGTCAAACCGCGAGGAAGAAACCTACCTCTGATTTGCCCTTGGACACGCAATTCGCCACATTGCTGGGTTCCAAGTTGAGTGCATCTCTCTGTAACAAAGAGAAAAGTATAAATATTAAATTGTGAAAGAATTATTTGCATAATAAAATTATTAATAAGATTTCAACTTACATAAGATATATATATATAAAATTACACAAAATATAATAATATTTATTGCGATATTTTTTCGGTTTTTCAAGATATCCGAGTATTTCATATTAAAATTGGAAGACAAAGGGAATTCCATGTCGAGCGAGATGCCATGATTATACTTCTAGGAAAATCTGCATGATTGTTTCTAGGCAGGAGTGTCCCCCTTTCTTACGGACGACCGCTCGACACGCTCGACTCTACGAGAGGCGTCGGCAAGTGCATACTTCACATTTTGCAAGCTCGGTGTGTTGCGCGACTGCCGGAGCAGTAGCAACCCTCTCGTAACACAGCCGGAAAGGTGCTACAAACGCGGCGGAATAGGGTCAATATTCGAGGTTTAGAGGGGAGATATTCGAGTAAAAATAACGAGACTCCTCTTTTCGTTTTAAAATACGTCCCCAGTTGTTTCACATACGACACCTTGCGTGATATTCCCTACGCTTTGACGCGACATTCTCGCGTGAGGTTATTCGGAGAAAATTAATTCTGCAAGCATACACATGTCGCGACAGTCAACGACGGTCTCCCACATTTTGTGTGTGTAGATGTACGGTTACGACGTTAGGAAGTGATTCGTTTGCACGGTCAATCGTCCAAAACGCGTCGGACCTAACGATCGATCTCCTGCGGACGCGTGCCCGGGTGTGTCACTGCCAGAAACGGCGTCGATTCTCGATATTGTCCCGTCCCGAACGTAAGGGCGAGCCGAACAGCGTTTTCCGACGTTGATCTACGGCCAATAAATTACCGAAAGAATCGTCCGCGTCGCGGCGAGAGCGCTGGACGAGTCATATCGAGAGCAGATGAAAGAGGACGTTAAATCATTGCGGTTTCCGCGATGGTACAAACCGCGACGCATTATCTATGATTCAGCGTCGATCGTAAAACAAAAAAAGAAATGCTCCCGTGTACAATCGCGGTAAACGGAAAACATATCGATCCCGTCACATAACGTCGTTCGCAATTTTATGTTCCAAAGTGAATGAACTCCGCGCGTGCCTCGTCGCCGACTGTAATGTACTGAAATCCCCGCATTGCGGGACGGATAAATATACAATATTGTTTCTACATACGACTCGCCGACTTTCGAAAGTCGCATTCCGTGCACAATTTGTCGGGTAGGATGTACATTGGCGGGAATCCAGGCGACGCGGTTGAAGTGGATACGAACATGATTTACCTCGACGTACGGTATATACGCGGTCGCAATATTCAGAACGGACTTAGAGTGCCCCATTATAAACATAATCCACTTACAAACAGCACGGCATCTACTCCGCAAAATAGCGCCGCCGCGACTGCGGTAACCGACTCGAAGTTACCGATGAGTATACGTTCGCGCTATACGGAACAATAGCGTAATGACAGTGAATCGCTCGCGGGCCCGCGTTATTCCGCAGTCTGACTCGTGCCTGTATTATTCTCCTTAATTTACCGAGCCACCATCGATCCGTTTCCGATGGCTATCGCTTCCCATCAGTTAGTTGCCCGGAGGAGGCTCACGATTGGTCGGATATAAGCGCGAATTTCACCTTGGAGGACTGTTAAAATCATTTAACGACCCCCGGGCCCTTCCGCGTGGGCGTTGATAACGACGTATTACTCGTTAAGCACCGCGGTGCATTAAGGCGCCGGTGTACACAGCCGGCAGCTCGGCGGTAATTAAAAGCGGAGCAATTCCCGGTATCCGCGCTTCACCCG